ATTGGTCGACTGATCGTGATTATTAATAATTGTGGTTGGGAAATTGCGGCCGCCATAATTAAAATTCGGGCATGTCGGCGATGCAGCCTCACGTCCTCTTGGGCCGCCGGAAATAACCTTTTCGGAAAGAACAGTTTTGTAAAAAATACATATACAATGAGGGAAAAAAGTATTTGATCCCCTGCTGATTTTGTACGTTTGCCCACTGACGAAGAAATGATCAGTGTATAATTTTAATGGTAGGTTTATTTGAACAGTGAGAGACAGAATAACAACCAAAAAATCCAGAAAAACGCATGTCAAAAATGTTATAAATTGATTTGCATTTTAATGAGGGAAATAAGTATTTGACCCCCTCTTAATCAGAAAGATTTCTGGCTCCCAAGTGTCTTTTATACAGGTAACGAGCTGAGATTAGGAGCCCACTCTTAAAGGGAGTGCTCCTAATATTAGCTTGTTACCTTGTATAAAAGACACCTGTCCACAGAAGTAATCAATCAGATTCCAAACTCTCCACCATGGCCAAGACCAAAGAGCTCTCCAAGGATGTCAGGGACAAGATGTAGACCTACACAAGGCTGGAATGGGCTACAAGACCATTGCCAAGCAGCTTCGTGAGAAGGTGACAACAGTTGGAGCGATTATTTGCAAATGGAAGAAACATAAAAGAACTGTCAATCTCCCTCGGCCTGGGGCTCCATGCAAGATCTCACCTCGTGGAGTTGCAATGATCATGAGAACGGTGAGGAATCTGCCCAGAACTACATGGGAGGATCTTGTCAATGATCTTAAGGCGCTTGGGACCATAGTCACCAAGAAAACAATTGGTAACACACTACGCTGTGAAGGACTGAAATCCTGCAGCGCTCGCAAGGTCCCCCTGCTCAAGAAAGCACATATACATGCCCGTTTGAAGTTTGGCAATGAACATCTGAATGATTCAGAGGACAACTGGGTGAAAGTGTTGTGGTCAGATGAGACCAAAATGGAGCTCTTTGGCACCAACTCAACTCGCCGTGTTAGGAGGAGGAATGCTGCCTATGACCCCAAGAACACCATCCCCACCGTCAAACATGGAGGTGGAAACATTATGCTTTTGGGGTGTTTATCTTCTAAGGGGACAGGACAACTTCACTGCATCAAAGGGACGATGGACGGGGCCATGTACCGTCAAATCTTGGGTGAGAACCTCCTTCCCTCAACCAGGGCATTGAAAATGGGTCGTGGATGGATATTCCAGCATGACAATGACCCAAAACACACGGCCAAGGCAACAAAGGAGTGGCTCAAGAAGAAGCACATCAAGGTCCTGGAGTGGCCTAGCCAATCTCCAGACCTTAATCCCATAGAAAATCTGTGGAGGGAGCTGAAGGTTCGAGTTGCCAAACGTCAGCCTTGAAACTTTAATGACTTGGAGAAGATCTGCAAAGAGGAGTGGGACAAAATCCCCCCTGAGATGTGTTCAAACCTGGTGGCCAACTGCAAGAAACGTCTGACCTCTGTGATTGCCAACAAGGATTTTGCCACCAAGTACTAAGTCATGTTTTGCAGAGGGGTCAAATACTTATTTCCCTCATTAAAATGCAAATCAATTTATAACATTTTTGACATGCGTTTTTCTGCATTTTGTTGTTGTTATTCTGTCTCTCACTGTTCAAATAAACCTACCATTAAAATTATAGACTGATCATTTCTTTGTCAGTGGGCAAACGTACAAAATCAGCAGGGGTTCAAATACCTTTTTCCTTCACTGTAATTTATAGATTTGAAGCTTTCGTGACTGCAAAGATTCATACTGTTTGATTTTTCGGTAAAGTCACGTAGGTAAAATAAAATAAATGAAAACAACTAAATTAAATCACGACGTTTCGGAGGCAACACAAGCTTCTGTCTTCAGGTGGAACAGTCACAGCAAAATAGCTGTATCAAGCTATTTTGTTACAGCTATTTGATTTAATTTAGTTGTTTTCATTTATTTTATTTTACCTACGTGACTTTACCGAAAAAACCAAAGAGTATATATATAATTTATTGTTCTGCCTGCTACATGGGGCAGTAAAATGTGTGCACCCTCAGCACATAATGGAAATCCATTGCCGGCGGGCTTAATTGATTTGAAGAGTTATGTCCAGCGGGCGTAGTAAACATAGCGGGTGTGATGTTTCCGAACGTTCTAATGCTGAATATAACTTTGTAAATTGCCCCAGTTTTTATTTAAATTTTATTTTAAATAAGACCCCCCCCCCCCATGTGGCGAATATCTTTCACGACCACATTTTTTGTTGTTGGACTTCTAAGAAATGCCGCGAATCGTAACATTGGAGGGATATCGCTCGCGGGTCTTGGTGACATGTGGCAGCAGGGGACCTTTGTTATCACGCGCTCTGTTTCTTTAATACGGCCGACAATACAATACCTCTGATTAGTGCGGTTTGCTACGTGCGGCGCGAAAGAAGTTCAACATACTGACATAGACTACTCACACGGAGACCCATAGACTCACACGGAGGCTCATTGACTCACACAGACACCCATAGACTCACACGGAGACCCATAGACTCACACGGAGCCCCGTAGTTTGTTGTCCTTCCCACGCACCTCCCGTTAGCAAGGTTGGCCATGTACGGTGCAAAAGAAGTTCAATGTACGTACAATACAACAAACAACAGCATCTGTTTGGGAGCGTTTCTCACGCGTGGCCTTCAGTTCGTGATGCTGCGCGTGTGACAACGCACGCGTCTGTACTCGTGTGGATTCGCTTGTCCGTCTCCGCGTATGCACACGTGCATGTGCAAGTGCTGCAGGTGCTTGTACCTGCACATGAGCTTGTGGATGCGTGTGTGTGTGTGTCTGTGCTTGTATCGGGAGCGGCTGCGCAGCGGTTAGCACGCTCCGCTCTACGAATCCAATCCGGCGATCCTGAGTTAAAATCCCGCTCACGGCCAACACCGGTGACGATTATCTGAACCGGTTCTGGGCCTCTCCCCTAGGTCGACTCAGCCTCAAATGAGTACCTGCTGTGATGTGTAAAAACATCGCCGCCGGGGAGACAAAGGTGGCCGGGTGTGGTGCTGGCCACCCACCCCCTCGTGTGCCGTGCAAGCCTTCATAGGTGCTGCTCGCTAACAGCACTTGCCCCAACAGTCAGTGAAAGCTATACGGCTGATCTTTGTCTTTGTGTAGTGATATAGAATGGGTCACTAGGGCGCGTAGCGCTTGGTACTGGCAGAGAGGTGGATTTGTGGGTGTAGCAGCCCGGTCTGCCAGCAGGGCACGTGATAGGCCGGAGAAAAGGATGTAGGGCAAAGGTGACGGGAGGGGACACGTGGGGTGAAGCCGAGAACCTTCTGGTAGGATCCAGAAGGGGGCGTGGCTGAGGGCGGAGCCAGGCCACGCTGGGGGGGGGGGTAAAAGGGAGGTCCCGACTCAGGGTCGGGGCTGTCGTCTGGAATGAAACCCGTCGTGCTACGGAAGTCTTCATCCTCGTCTTCACCTCCTCGGCGTTGTTGGTCAGGCAGTGTGCCGGCTGTCCTGACCCGAGTATAGTTAGCTCCTGTACCTGTGATGGCTGGAATAAACGAGTGTGCCTTCTGCTATTAGTGTCTCCTAAGTGACTCGCTACATTTATATAGGGAGACAAAGGTGGCCTCCACCCCCTCGTGTGCTATGCCGGCCTTCGTAGGTGCTCGCTAACAGCACTTGCCCCAAAATTCTGTGAAGGCTGTATGGGGAATCTTTGCCTTTGTTCTGTATACATTTTTTTATACATGGACGTGCACGTGCTTGCCTGTGCTTGTATGTGAGAGCTCGCAGATGCATATGCGCGTGTGCTTACGCGTGCATGTTTGTGAGCTCTTGTATGCCTGTGTTTGTGAGCGTGTGTGTCGTGTCTGTGTGCATCCGTGTCAGCGTGCATGTGTGCGCGTTTGAATGTGCGTGTATGCCCATCTTTGTATATTCTTGCGTGGAAACCATTTGATACGTGCTTCGTTGTATGCTCACGCGTGTGCTGTCGCGCGTATGTTTGCGTGCGCGTGCCGTATGTATTTGTGCGCGCGTTTATGTGGGGAGCGGTAGTGTAGCGGTCGGCGCGCTGCGCTGCGAACCAGGCCACCCGGGTTCGATTCCTGCTCACGGCCAACACCGGTGACGATTATCTGAAACCGGTCCTGCGCTTCCCTCCCTCGGTCGAGTCTGCCTCAATGAGTACCTGGTGCGGTGCGTAAACATCGCCACTCGGGAGGCAAAGGCGGCCGGGCGTGGTGTTGGCAGTGGATCGATGCGCTCCGAACCGGGGGGGGGGGGGGCGACCCGAGTTCGATTCCCCAACCGGTCACTTAGCCTCCCCTACGTCGCACGGCTGTCAACCGCTCGTCAGTGCCCTAGCTTGTTACAGAACCAACTCAGACCTTATTGGTCACCCCGTGCCTCTTATAAATCTCAACGTTCATCCTACAAAGTCCCATCACAAGGGAGAAACACAAACAATGGGTTGACAGGTGTGAGGTCGACTCAGCCTTTAATGAGTACCTGTTGTGATGCGCAAAAGATCAGCACTGGGGGGAGAGACAAAGGCGGCCGGGAGTGGTGCTGAGCACCCAAACCCGTCGTGTGCTATGCCATCCTTCATAGTGCTCCCCAGCCGTCTGCGAATGCTATGGGTGGTGGTGGGGATCTTTGTCTTTGTACGCATTCATACGCACGTACCGTGCACGCATACACACGCACGTACCATGCTCGCATGCACACGCGCACGTACCGCGCTCGTATGCACACGCACACGTACCGTGCACGCATACACACGCACGTACCATACATGCATACACACGCACGTACCGCGCTCGCATGCACACACGCACGTACCGCGCTCGCATGCACACACGCATGCTTGTTCTTTTTTGTTGCCGTTTGTTTGAACTCATCTGTGCTGTTGGCCAGCTTCACGCCGCTTCCAGATCCCTTACATTTCTTTGTTTGTTCACTCTCGCCGGCTCCCCTAGCCTCCAGGCCAGTCCCCTCCAGCGCAAGCTTCGCCGATCTCTCCGGCCCATTCCATTTGCCGAGAGCCCACGGTGAGTGCCCCCCCCCTCCGTGCCTGATGCCCGCCAGCACTTGCGCTTAAAAGTCAGCGTTTTCTTCAACAACATCGTCTGGGAAAGGGGGCTGTTATTTAGACACAAATCCCTTGAAGTCCTCGTCTCGTCTTTGTCGTTGCAACTATCTGAACCGCCCCCTCCTGGTTGATCTGCGGGTGCCGCGGTGGCTAGGAGATGTTAACTCCCTCGCCTGGTACGCAGGAGGATGTGGTTTCGATCCCTGGACCCTGACGCCTGCTGTATATTTGGAGTCTGCGCTTCTCATCATCACGACGGTGACTAGGATATGTTAACTCCCTTGCCTGGTATATAGGAGGTCGTGGGTTTGATCCCAACCCTGTCTCTAGCTGCTGTATAATTGGAGTTTGCGTTTCTCTCTCTCTCTCCCCGTGATCGTGTGGATTTTTCTCCGGGTCTTCCGGTTTATCCCTCCACATTTATAATCAACGTGCGTTTAGAGTATTTGGCTGCTCTAGATTTCCACGTGATAAGCCACTTCATTAAGCGATCATTTGTGGCCAGGCCGCTTCTGAAAAAGAGCTACATAGGTCAGTGGGGCTTACCTTGTAAAATAAAAAAAAATGTTCATAGTTTTAAATCGTTTCATAGTTTCTTTGAAAAAGAGCTTCATAGCTGATTGGATTTCTCCAGGATAAATATTTAACTTCGGTAACATCACGTGCTCGTATTTTCATCTTTTTTTCTCTGGGAATGAGTTAATAGTGAGGTTCTGTGTGTGTGTGTTTTTTTTACACCATACAAGGATATAGAATTGATGTTTCAGTGGCCAAGAAATGTAATTCCATATTCGACCGTGCGTGCGTGTATATTCAGTCAAAGAGATTTTCTGCGCAAATGAGCATTGGCGAAATTGGTGCTCATCTTGCGGATTGCGGCCATGAGCCAGTGGTGGTAATTCCACGTTCCTATGACAGGGGGAGTCTATCCATAGGTCAGACCCCCCCCCAATGAGGCTTTGAACTCATAAGCTGCTCACTCTTTTGCTAGCCGGAATTAAATATACATATGATCTATGCAGCACAATGTGTCTTAAACAAGTTGGGAAAAATCATTCTATTAACGCTTTCCAACACAGTGGTACCTCGGTACACGACCGCTTTGGAGTACGTCGAATTTGGTACACGTCGTGTTTTGACGAGAAAAAAAGTGTCTTGGGATACGACGTCTTGCTTGGGATACAACACGCTTGCTAGAACTTGTATGGGTCGGGATGAGTCACCGCGTACCCGCGTAGACCCCGTTCACGACTGAAACAAAGCGCCGCTCCTCAGTCTGCCTGTAGATCTCGTTCAGTGCACAACCCTTGCTGTAACTCTGAATTCTCACGTGTTTTTTTTTGTCATTTTAACGTGAATTTTTCGCGAATTAATTCAACTCCTCTCGGCAAGCTAAAGTGATGTAAATTTTTTATTTTATTTAAATGTATTTAAATTTATTTTTGCATTTATCTTAATGCATGTATGCATTTTAGTAATAAGTAATGTTATACAACCACATTAATGTATAATGTGCCAAATAAAATTTAATTTCTTATACTCTAGAATGGGTTATTTCCTTTCCCTTGATTTCTTATGGGAAAAAATTCGTTTGGTAGACGTCACTGTTGGTATAAGTCTTCCTACCTTATTCTTAGCTCTTTCGGTAAAGTCACGTTGAAGGGAAACAATAAAATAATAAAATATATATAAAACAATAAAAATTATCACGACGTTTCGACCATAACACAAACGGTCATCATCAGATGATCATCAGATGATGACCGTTTGTGTTATGGTTTTATTGTTTCCCTTCAACGTGACTTTACCAAAAGAGCTAAGAATATGAATTACTGCAGTCACGAAAGCTTTAAATCAAAATTCCTCCTACCTTCTGGAACGAATTAACGACGTATACCGAGGTACCACTGTATGTGTGTGTATTTGATGCGCGGGATGGAATTGGCCGGGTAGCTAGCTGCCAGGGCAAAAAAACTACTATTACATTTAACACGTAGGCTTTCGCAACCAATATTATCCATAATAGAGGTTTTTGGGTTAGATCGCGTAAATATACAAATGTGTCAGGTAAATATGCCAATCTGTTACTAATTCAGCACAGCGGTGTGTTGGAGAGTAAACCCCACAACAGCTACAATTCGAGTACGATGTTTCGCCGGTAATTGCAACCAGCATCATCACCCGACATTGTTGTAATTCATACGCACGCATTAACCCCCCCACTCCCCTCTGATTGGCTCACAAGTGACGACGTCACATTTATTCCCCCTCTATTTAAGACCGAAACAGGAGGATTTCTCCACAACTCTGGCTGTCGCCTGATGATGCTAGTTGTTGTTGTCATGATTACCGGCGAAATGTCACGGTATTGGAATTGTAAATGTTGTCGTGGGTTTACTCTCAGACACACAACCGGTGTGCTGAACTAGTAAACTAATTGGCATGTTTTGTTAACGTGAAAAAGCTTTACTAATTGGCCGTGTCGGGTGGTGGCGGGTTTAACGACACATTTATTTTTACACAATCTAACCCAAAAACCTCTATTATGGATAATACTATTACATGTTTGCAAGGAGGCCTTTTCCCTCTGATTTGAGTCTCCACGATTAGGGCAACCCTTTGATCAATTTGCCAGTTATTGTGCCTCCCCGTTGTGGATGTTTTTTTTTAGATGCACAGACGGATACAGCTGGTGCACAAATGCCGTTCCACCTTTTGTGTGGAGAATTCAAATCCAAAACTCGATGGTCAAAAACGATGATTAGACCCATCGCAATAGGGCAAAGTGTGTGCTCGATGGAAGCAAAGATAAACCTCAGCGCGCCGAGATGCGTTCACAAGTGGGACTCTCAGCTCTTGAGTTAGCGGTTTTAACAGTATCATTATAATTTGGCCACACTTCAAGCTCTTTTGATTTGGTGGTCTAGACAAGGCCGAGAGATTTGTACAGTACATGACACGTTGTGGTTAGTTGGCTTGCGCAGAAGGCATGATCGGCATCACGCCTTCCTTTCGATTGTGAGTACTGTAGTCCCTCGGTTAATAATGACACCATCGGTTAACGTTTCGCCTCACACAGGGGACCCCCCCCATTGTTTCAACTAACGTTTCGATTGTGAGTACTGTAGTCCCTCGGTTAATAGTGACACCATCGGTTAACGGTTTTTCAGTTAACGTTTCGCCTCCCACAAGGGACCCCCCATTGTTTTAACTAACGTTAACATTGTGACTAACGGTAATGTGTTTACGTGATGCACGCAGGCGCCAAATTCAGCCAATCCGAGTGCTCGTAAGCGGGGCTGAGCCATGGCCTCAGCCAATCAGCGACGCTCATTTATGAGCGTTTAGACCTCTACTTGCTTTGTTTACATGATTACGTTTTCTGTTTTTGGGCAGTGGAAAACGTATAAGTGAATTCGACGAACGTTCATTTCGGTTAACGGTAGTTTTCATGGAACGGATTAAAAACGTTAGCCAAGGGACTACTTTACAACGTTTGCGTGCAGTTTTTTCCACGTTAGCCAAATCGAACGGGCGACCGCCGAATCGTACGTCCGGCGTGCTGACTCGTTAGGCACCACGGTGGCTATGAGATGTTAACTACCTCGCCTGGTTTACAGGAGGTTGTGGGTTCGATCCCGACCCTGAGTTTGCGTGTTCTCCCCGTTGTCGCATGGATTTTTTCCCCCGAGTCATCTGGTTTTTCCCTCCACATTTAGAATCAACGTCACGCGATTAGACTATTTGGCTGCTATAGATTTCCACGTGTCGATTAAGTCACTTTGTTGAGCGATCATTTGTGGCCAGGTCACTTGTGAAAAAATAACTTCATAGCTCAGTGGGCCCTTACCTGGTTCAAATAAAAAAATAGTTAATTGTCAGCTAGGCGGCCACGCGGTCGGAGAGACGCGAGACCGCGCTTCCGTCCCGCTCGCAGGGGGAGAGGCGTCCGGCTCGGCTTTCGCCAACTTCGCCGACTTCGACAACTTCCCCAAGTCGTCGAGCGCCAACTTCGGCTCGGCGCTGGGCGGCAGCGGTGGCGCCGCGGCGCGACCCGGAACCGGAGGGGAGGTGCCGCCCGCGGACAAATACGCGGCGCTCGCCGACCTCGACAGCATGTTCAGCGCCGGCAAGCAGCCGTCCCCCGCCGCCGGTGAGCCGTTCGGTGACGTAGGACGTTTGTGACGGCTGACGGCGACGACGTTTTGAACCCCTTCCGATGACGTACGTGGACTTCACTACTGATGTTGAACTTCTTTCGCGCCGTACGTGGCCAACCGTGCGATTTCGAGGTGCGCGGGGGTCTCTGTGTGAGTCTGTGAGTCTCTGTGTCAGTCTGTGTGTCTCTGTGTGTCTCTGTGTGAGTCTGTGTGTCTCTGTGTGAGTCTATGGGTCTCTGTGTGAGTCTATGGGTCTCTGTGTGAGTCTGTGAGTCTCTGTGTCAGTCTGTGAGTCTCTGTGTGAGTCTGTGGGTCTTTTTGTGAGTCTGTGGGTCTCTGTCTGAGTCTGTGGGTCTCTATGTGAGTCTGTGGGTCTCTGTGTGAGTCTATGGGTCTCTGTGTGAGTCTGTGTATCCATGTTGAACTTCTTTCGCACCGTACGTAGCCATCCGTGCTAATCGGAGGTGCGTGGGTGAAGGACAACAGACTGAACAACAAACTAAACTACGTACGTGTACGTCGATCCGTTTTTCTTCCGATTACGTTCCGATTTACGTGCGTTTATGTCATCGGAAGTAAAAGGGCGTGCGGGTAGGGGCATGTGACGCAGTTTGCCCGCCAGCTATCGTAGAGTGCGGCGATCGTGCCGCTACGGTTCTCTGCGGCGAGCACGTCTTTAAAAACGACGGTGCCGCTACGCCTCTCTGAAAGAATGAACGCCGAGCCACTCGCGCGTTCCGAGATTCAGCGGTGAACGGGACGCCACCACCCGCACCCTGCAACTTGCAGACGTCTCCGGAACGGGAAAGGTTTAAGTTGACTTGACTCGGTTTCCTTAGGATACGCCGGTAGTTGCGGTGCACGCTGGCAGTGTCACTCATGGCCAACGTCCGTCTGCCTCCGCTAGCGTCCGTCCAGAATCAGAATCTTTATTTACACCGGAGGTGGAATCCGATGAGCCATGAAGCTCTTTTTCACAGATGAATCGATTGGCGGTAGCCCGGGTCACCGCAAAATATTGGTGGGCCGGGCATAGTTTAAGGTTTTTTTTCTGGAAGCATCGCTGGTACCACCACCCTGTCCTGCCGGAGGGCGACGCTGGGAGCGACGATGATGACGATGTCGATCCCGCCAGCACGACCATGACCGCCGGCCGTACCAAGAGAGCGCCTGGTGCGCCATTGCCTCCAAGTGGTCTCGCTCCCAAAGACAAGGGGGTGGCCGCCCCCGTAAGAAGCAGAACGTGCTGGGGAATGACCAGACCAGCATCCCGATGTACTTTCAAAACAAGCGATAAACAGCCGTTGCCACGCACAAATCCCCAGCAGCCCCCCTTTGTTTAATGGGTGTTTTGCGTGTGTTTTTTATTTCCATATTTGGCGTGCGTATCAGGCTCAGTGACATCTCCCGCCTTCATAGGCCTTCTGGTTTCAGAGTTATGGAGGTTTTGGCACCCCCGGGTCACCGCTAATCGATTCAGATGTCTAGTCGGAGCCCAGGGTCAGTAAGTTACGTCAATAAACATTTTTTTTAAAACGATATAAGAAGCAAGATAGAGAAACGGTAAGCAAGTCGCGATGAATAAATAAATACAATTCACGTATGGAGGTGCAAATTGCATAAGTGCATAAATTCCTGCCGATTTGTTAACACCAAATGCATGCTTGGGCAAGGTAGCAAAACAAAAAAAACAACAGTGCCAGACCACACCAAGCCAACACACAGTCCCTCGATTACATAGTACAGGGACTCATCTACTTACAAACAAGTTAGGTTCCAGAGGTCTGTTCATAAGTCGATTTGTTCTTAAGTCCAACTTTACTCCTGTCGATTCCGAACACGCTGTACGAGATGTACACTAAACACTAAAAGTTTTATCATCTCCTGCAGATGTAGATGCCACTGGTTCTTCACGTTCTGCAGATGTCGATGCCACTGGTTCTTTACGTTCTGCAGATGTAGATACTACTGGATCTTCACGTTCTGCAGATGTAGATGACACTGGATCTTCATGTTCTGTAGATGTACATGCCACTGGTTCTTCAAGTTCTGCAGATGTAGAAGCCACTGGTTCTTGATGTTCTGTATATGGAGATGCCACTGGTCCTTCACGTTCTGCAGATATAGATGCCACTGGTTCTTCACGTTTTGTAGATGTAGATGCCACTGGTTCTTGATGTTCTGTATATGGAGGTGCCACTGGTTCTTCACGTTCTGTAGATGTAGATGCCACTGGTTCTTCACGTTCTGTAGATGTAGATGCCACTGGTTCTTCACGTTCTGCAGATGTAGATGCCACCACCGCCATCTATTGCGCGGCGGTTGAATTACGACTCTCGGTCCGAACGGGTAACTGGACATACGGACCAGGTTTGTTTGTATCTATGAAAGTTCGTAAGTCGAATGTTTGTAAGTAGAGGAGTCCCTGTACACTAAAATGTAACTATTCCATAATGCTGCTGAGAGAGACACGTTCTGCTTGGGGGTTCCTCTGCACCGTGTCCAATCGAAGCATTCGCAGAAGAGAATGTTAAGAAAACCCTTCACCGCAAAAGCATGAGTCTCTCGGTTTGTAATGGCGTTTAAATGCAACGGCGTCGAAAGTTAGAAAAATAATGCTTCCGCGTGGATTATGTAACGCTTTTGAGCACGCTTTTTCATTCGCCAACGGGCAGTTGTTAGGTCAAAGACTTTTGCATGTTCGCAAATAGTTATTGTTTTTCCTCGCCGGTTTCACAGACCTTCGCGCCTCCAGTGATTAAAAAATACGAATGATAACGGCAGTGATTGCACTGTCGCGTATAGTAATAATGATGATGATGAAGTGTACGTGTTACTGATGTTTCGCGTGTCCGTCGCTTAAACAGCGTCGCTTTCCCATCTGTCGCCCCAAAGTGGGCGGTCACGTGACCACGTACGTCCTGTCGGGGCCGGCGGACCAGCGGTTCACGGATCAGCGCGGGGCGTACGCGCCTCACGGCAGCCCCGCCGCTTCCTCCGCTCCTCTGGGCTGGTGAGAGCCGTACAGCCAAGCGTCACTTGTCGTCATCGTCGTCGTCATCGTCATCGTTGTCGTCATCGTCGTCATCGTTGTCGTCATCGTCGTCATTGTCGTCATTGCTGTCGTCATCGTCGTCGTCATCGTCGTAGTCATCATTGTCGTCATTGTCATCGTCATTGCTGTCGTCATCGTCGTCGTCATTGTCATCATCCTCGTCGTAGTCATCATTGTCATCATCATCATCGTCGTCATCGTCATTATTGTCGCCATCGTCATCGTCGTCATCGTCATCGTCGTCATCGTCGTCGTTGTCATCATCATTGTTGGCGTCATCGGCGTGATCATCGTCGTCGTCGACATTATCAGCGTCGTGATAATTGTCACCGTAATTTATCATCGCAGATCTCTCACGCCGGAAGGTGAGTGCAAGTGCATCCTCGAAAGACCAGGCTGATTTAGTGTACGTGTGTAGGTATGTTGAACTTCTTTCTCAATCTACGTAGCCAACCGTGCTGGTGGTGGGGTTGCCCGGCAATATCAGTTTCCTTAAAAACCCGAGTATCCACGAAGACCCAATTAAAAAAAAATTATACCCGAAAAATATAAAAAGCGGTGTAAACGAGTGGCAGTGAGTCCGATGGAAGGATCATGAAGATGGCGAGGGGGCGACCTTGTCGCTCATCCGAGACCGGACTGGGAGCCGTTGGAGGGTTCTGATAATCGGCATCGAGCTGGCCTCACTCACTGGTGCTGGCAATTCTGTCAAATCGCCTTATGATGGTTGTACTCACCGGAAAAAACGTCACAGGACTCGCATTGTGAACGTTGTGGATTTACTCACCAGCACACCAACCGGTTTGCTGAAGTCGTAACGAATTGGCACGTTTTGCTTACGTGACAAACCTTAACAATTGCCTGTGTCGGGTGGTGGCGGGGTTTAACGGCGTGTTTATATTCACGCGATCCAACCCCAGAAAGCCTTTACTGTGGATAACGTTGGTCGCGAAAGCCTACTACTGCCACTACTACGTGTTAAACTTGTCGCGAGCGGTCTGGCCGTGGAGGGGACAGGGTCGCAAGAGCAGTCGGGACGTACGCGCTAAGTTTCTGTGCGGATCGAGAATTTCTAAAGGTTGCCAAGAACACCTTCACGCGAACGCGGCCTCCGCATCTTTGCTGACCGCGTCTGTTTGTCCTCCTGCTCGGCGCCGCCGCCGCCGCAGCAGCGCGTACAGCGCGGGAGTCGCGGCGCTGGGGCCCGTGCCAGCGCAAGCGGTCGCCGGCGCCGGATTCGCAGGTGAGGTCCCCCCCCCCCCTCGCCGTACGCGGAGAAGTAGTACGGGGAACAGTGGCGCTGTAGGAGCTGCTGGACTGGGGCAGTTCTCCCTCTGTCCCCTCCCTCCTTCCCTTGCCTCCCTCCCTAGCCTCTCTCTCACCCTAGATGGGGGGCGGGTGGAAGTGGGGGTGGGAGGGGGGGGGGCAGGTGGGAGGGAGCACTACTGAGCTTTTGAGAAGCTCCGTTTACTCCCAGCTGCCCCCCCCCCCCCATACAATGTTCACTGGGATGGGTGAGTTGTGTGAGTTGTATTAACACCTTTCCCATTCCGAGACGTCTGCAATTTTCAGGGTGCGAGTGGTGTCCCGTTCACTGCAGAATCCCAGAGAGGCGTAGTAGCAGCGCCGTTGTTTCTAAAGACATCGTACTCGCCGCGGAGAGCCGTAGCGGCACGACCGCGCTCTATGATAGCCGGCGCCAAACTGTGCCACGCTCCCTCCCGCACGGCCTTGTCGGAGCCTCGGGCACGTCTTTCCGACCTGACGGCGTGCCGATAAAGCTATTTTTATTTTAGTTTTTCTTCCGGTTCCGTCCCGTCGGCGTCCGGGCGCGTCGTCGCGGTGGGAAAGGGTTCCGCATTGCCCCGGTTTTTGTTCCGCTCCCACAGCCGGCAGCAGCAACCCGTTCCTTCCGGCGGCACCGGCGGCAGCGATTGTGGGCAGCACCAACCCGTTTCAAACGCAGGCCAACGGTACAAACGCGCACGCACGCACGCACGCACCATACGCACGACAATTGGAACGTTGAAACGTCAGTCGAGAGGGAAGGGCAGAGAGAGCTTCGGTGCCGCTGTTTTGGTTTCCGTTTCCCCCCCCCCCCCCGAGTTCATCCTGACCTGTGCCATCGCGGTTGCGTCGTGAGACGATTCCTCGGAGAGGAGCGTCGCCCTCCGTGCTGGGGCACGGCCCACGGGAGCGGATGTAGCGAAGCGTTGGTACCTCCTCGAGGTCTCCTTCGCGGAGACCCTCCGGTACACGCACGGGAGAGCGGGGGGGGCGGCACTTTCTCGCCTGTCGCCTTGGTGTTTTGACACGGCTTTCGTTTCCCAGAGCCACTTGGCCACCCGTTCCGGTGAGGCTTTCCTTCACAAATTAAGGGCCTCACTATGAGACCTCCTTTGCCAGTAGCAAGATATAGTGATAGGTTTTTACCCTTTTATCTGGCACCAAAACTGACACCTCTATACAAGGGATCATGTTTGCAATAACCACAACACAAGCAGTCAAAATGCAAACAAAATGAGACAACTCTGATAATGATATGCACTGTCCTTGAAATGGATTGGTCCACACCCGAGACGGCTTTTCTTAGAGCCTAGTCTCCACTGGTGTTGGACCAAATGACGCCTTTTGGACAGTGCATATTATTATCAGAGTTGTCTCTTTTTGTTTGCATTTTGACTGCTTGTGTTGTGGTTATTGCAAACATGATCCCTTGTATAAAGGTGTCAGTTTTGGTGCCAGATAAAAGGGTAAAAACCTATCACTATATTATTAAATTAAGGGCCTGTTATTAAAATGGCTCATGTGGTTCCACACGGTACATAGAATTACCTCAATGTCGCGCGGACCACAATGGACTCCTCTTTTATATTTTATCTTAATTTATATTTATAGAGCGCCTGGTGTGCAGGAGGTTGTGGGTTCGACCCCAACCCTGACTCCTGCTGCTGTAAATTTGGAGTTTGCGGTGTCTCTCTCGCCCCCCCCCCCCCTCCGTGGTCGCGTGGATTTTTCTCCTGGGGTCCTCCGGTTTTTCCCCCTCCACATTTAGAATCGACGTCACGCGTTTAGAGCGTTTGGCTCCTGCTAGAAACTTCCACACGATACACCACTTCGCTGAGCTATCATTTGTGACAGCCAGGTCGCTTCCGAAAAAGAGCTACATAGCTCGGTGGACCTTACATTAACATAGTTTATACGTTAACATAGTTTATAGTTTAAATTTGGAGTTCATAGTTTCATCGAGAGACGCTTAACAAAACCCGGTACAAACGAAGAAATTATTCGGATGGTGTGCTTGCGTGCTTGTGTCTGCCCTCGCAATGTTTGGATTGTGCGTCGATGCGTGTTTGACACGCGCGTGTCTTTGCAATGCGTCTGTGTGTGCGTGTTTCTGCGTGCGATTGTGTTTTCCCGTGTCGTGTGCGTGTGTGTGTGTGTCTGCACACGCGCGCGTGTGAATTTTCACATTTGCTCGTGGTAACGGCGGGTGGAATCGGTGGTTTAGCGGCGAATGAACTATGCTGCGAACCCGGCCACCTGCGTTCGATTCCCGACCGTGGCCAACATCACGGGCGAGTGATGTTGCCCACGGTCGGCCTCAAATAAGCACCTGGTGCAGTGGTGTACACATCAGCACTGGGGAGAGACAGAGGCGGCCCGGGTGCGGCGCTACCCACACCACCCTGTCACGCGCCGAGGCCGACCCACGTTGGCGCTTCCTAACAGCACCACGTCCTACGTAGGCGGGGGCATTTTTGTACGTTTGCGTGCGCTCATGTAATGGGTGCTTGCTCGCCCGCTCGCTCGTACGTGTGCAGGCTTTGCGTACGGCGGAGCGCCGGCCGCCGCCGCCGCTGCCGCCGCCGCCGCCGCACCAGCTGTGATGCCGGCCGGATTCGGCGTTCCCGTCGGCTATGGCGGCGTGGGGAGCGGCGGGCAGGCTGCCCACGTCGGAGTGCAGTACTCCCAGCGTGCAGCGCTGTACGTGCAGCCGGCGGCCTACGGAGTGCAGCACGGTGGTACAGCAACTCGCAGAGACACGGACAGATACGCTGCCGCACGCACTGATATGCACGCACAGAGCCTGCAGTTGGCGCGGTTGGCTACGTACGGTGCGAGGGAAGTTCAGCGTACGTACATACGTAAACAAAGACAAAAGATCCTCTGTCCTCCGTATAGCCTTAACAGACTTTTTGGGCAAGTGGTGGTAGCGAGCACCCACGAAGGCCGGCACGGCACACGATGGGGTGGGTGGCCAGCACCACGCCCGGCCGACCTTTGTTTCAAAGTGGCGATGTTTTCATACATCGCACCAGGTACTCATTTGAGGTTGAGTCGACCTAGGGGAGGCCCAGGTCCGGTTCAGATAATCGTCACTGTTGTCGCCTGTGAGCAGGAGTCGAACTCGGGTCAGCGGCCTCGTAGCGCGGCACTTGGATTCATACAACGACAACAGCCACCATTTACCACTAGGTGGCTGTGACAGGCTAGGTGCACTTCGAGGTCACGTGAAGTATAGGAGGGGTTCACGGGACAGACCCCGGTGTCATGGTTTGTCTGACTGAGATGATTTGCAGATGCAGATACCTACCGCCTAGGTGGAGATACGAACCCAATTTGCCAGCATGTTAGAAGCCCTCAGGCTGTAATGTGCGTGTGTATGTGTCTTTGTACTGGGGAGCGGTGATGTAGCGGTTAGCGCACCACACTAGTAACCCGGTGACCCGAGTTCGATTCCCGCTCATGTCCACCACCAGTGACGATTATCTGAAACGGACCTGAGCCTCAAATGAGTACCTGGTGCGGTGTTGTAGTAAACATCGCCACTGGGGAGACAAAGGCGGCCGGGCGTGATGCTGGCGACCCACACCACTCCTGTGCTGTGCCGGTCTTCATAGGGCGCTCGCTAACAGCACTTGCCCATACAGTCTGTTAAGGCTACACGGGGGACATTTGCCTTTGTATTTTAATGGTATACCAGGCACTCCATTAATTTAGTACATTTTTTAATTAAAGTTCATGCTTCTTAAGCAGTACTCTTTTTGTCACTGCACACCTAACAGGCTGCAGGTCATTAAAAGGTACTTGTGTTATTATTATAGTTTTGCCCAGGCTTAGTGCGACTTGGAAGCGTATTATTAAATATTACATATTACAACTCCTTATAGGGGAAACACATACTAATTAACGGATTACTAACGTAGCATATAATCACAATAACACACATTACAACTAATTACTAATCTACAACTCATTACTAATCACAACCATTGACTGATTACCAATCGAAAATATAATTACAATACCCCCCCCTCCGCCTCTAATCACTGCACCTGAAATGAGTTAAATGATGACGTCACCCTGCTGCTCTATTTAAGACCGAGAGCAAGTAAGGGCTTTACCATTCTGGCGAATTGCCCGATGATGCTGGATGTAATTACCAGCGAAATGTCACAGTACTACTCAAACTGTAAATGTTGTGGATTCACTCTTCAGCACACCGGTGGGCTAAAGTAGTGAACTATTTGTCTTTTGTCAACGTGACACTTTTTTGCTGATTGGCCGTGTTGGGTGGTGGAGGGTTACGACACATTTATAAATAACGCGATCTAACCCAAAAACCTTTATTATGAATATAGTTATGCCGTTAACAATAAAGGTAAACACCCGCCCGACTTTTTTTTCTAACGAGGGCAAAGTGTTGCATTTGAACCTCGTTATTTTTCCCCTCAAGTAAAAAAAAATACTTTTGAAATTCCACTTTCCGCCCTGACGGCTGTCACGAACGCGTAGCTTTTAACAGGGCCTCGGGCTGAGTAAATTTAGAAGTTAATAAAAATAAAACAACCCATTGTTGATTTTTTTCGGTGGTTCTTTATTTTTACGGCAAATCCGTTCGGCTGTTGCTTTGGATACTTTTTTTTACTCGAAAAGAAAAGCACCGCTTAGGGGCCAAGACTTTGGTCAGCAGGATCCTTGCTAAGTATGGCAGGAGGGGGGGGATGGCGTTGACTTCTATGTGTTTCTAAGTTAAGCAATATGTGGGTAAATTTTACAAAGTGTAAAAAAATGGGGGGGGGGGGGGGACCGTGACACCACCGCACATGCGACCTCCACTTATTCAAATAACGGATATTTTATTTGTATTAATTATTTATAATTTTATATATACACATTTGAACTTTATATAACGAAATGCGAGCCCCGTTACAGCGCGCGGGCGCGATTTCATGCGTCCGGGGGAAGGTCAAGGGTCACGAGCCCGTTTGTAGGATGGGGGGTGTGGAAAAAGAAGGGGGGAGGGGCCTGCTGCCCCAATCAGGTGAGGACATCGTGACGGGGGAATGATGAAGATTTGAAAAGGGGGGGGAGGGCGGTGGGGGGGGGGGGGGATGACAGGGGAGGGGGAAGTATAACCAACCTAATGAGGGTAATAAGGGGTAGCGGGGGGGAGGGATCGGGAGACTGGGCAGACGAGGGGGAGGGGAGGAGGGGGTAGGCGGAAGGACTGAGAACAACCCCCGTAGACTGAGAACACACGTCCGGCATTTCGGGCGCTTATTACAGTGCCCTCCGCCTTTGTGAGATCCCCTCCCCGTCGACGGTGGCGGAATCTTTTAACGCTCGCCGTGACGGGAGGACGGCGTCCAGGGATTCTACGGCGAACCCCCCTCCCCCCGCCCGCGGTATTGACCAGGGCGGCCGTGGGGCTGGAAGCGGGAGCCCCGTGCAACGAGCGGTGAACTTTGCGTCCGCTTGACCCTCTCGCTATTCGTTTCCTCAACGTCCAGAACGCCGTCCGTCCCTCCGTCTGGGTTCAGAGGTCGATGGTGAATGTGTGCCAGCACTTATTCTCTTTCTCTCTCTGTCTCTGCGTATTCCTCGGTCAGGACACCCCTCAATTATTAACGTGGAAATCTGACCCCTTTGGCTGCCCATTTTGCAGCTCCTACTTGTTACAAAGACAAAGAGCCCCCTGAGTAGCCTTAACAGGTTGTCGGCGCAGGCGCTGTTAATGAGGAGCACGATGGGGCTCGGTGACCGGCACCACGCCCGGCCGCCTTTGTCTCCCCAGTGGCTGTGTTTTTACACGCCTCGCCAGATACTCATTTGAGTGGACCTAGGGGAGGCCCAGGACCGAGTTCAGATAATCATCGCCGGTTTTGGCCGCGAGCGGGAATCGAACCCGGGGTCGCCGGGTTCGTAGCGCGGCGCACTAACCGTTGCACCACCGCTCCCCTACTTGTTACGGGCAACGTGTCCACGCGCGTCCGTCGCTATTCCGCGCGGAGCGGTGGCGCAGCGGTTAGCGCGTTGGACTACAAACTCTGCCGCCCGAAGTTGATCCCTCTCTCCGGGACGCGGCTCGGAACACCGGCAGCGAGCGATCACCTGCCACGATGCTGGGCCCTCCTCCCCCTCTTCCTCCGCTGGGTACCTGAAGGGAAGACGGAGACTAAGCCGGCTCTGCTGCTGGCCACACAGCCCCCCCCCACACACCCTCTCGCGCTCAACTAGCCCTCGATCTTTCCCCGCCGTCGCCGTTATCGAGGACGCAGGGCGTGCGGTCGTCAATAAATGATGACGTGAAAGTTTCGGTGGCAAACCCTGCGTTGGGTTTCCCCGTCTCTCCGCTTGCGCGGTCCTCTCCTCCGTCAACTGCGACGCGACTCGGGCCCTCGCTCCCAACACCGGCGGCACGCACGTACACACGTACACACGTACGCACGTGCATGTACACATGCACGCACGTACGTACACACGTACGCACGTACACACGTACACACGCACGCACGTACACACGTACACACGTACACACGCACGCACGCACACATGCACGCACGCACGTACACACGCACGTACACACGCACGCACGTACGCCAGCACATACACACGCACACACACACGCACACACGCACGTACACACACGAGGACTTTCTGTGGGCGGATGGGGGGGGGTGGCGGGGGGGGGAGTGATGAGGTTTATTTGTACCCCGACGGACCCCGTCGAGTATCACCGCGCTGACGTCGCGATTGGCCCTCAATGCGGCCCCCCCCCCCCCTCTCGTCAAGATCCCTTATCCGGTGGTCACGTGACACGGGACGATCTTTGTCATTGCCCTTGTCGTTATCGCCCCCCTCCCCTCCCCCCCCCCCCCGTGCGTACAGAGTCTGCGTACGCCGCTGCTTATGCGCAGCCCAAGGTGATGGCCGGGCAGTTTGGCCAAAGCACACGGACATTGCCGACGAACCCCTTTGTGGTGAGTGACCTCTGTCCACGGGGGGGGAGGGGGGGGGGCGGTGAGTTCCCTGTGACGATGAGAGCTGTGCTCCGTAGCAGCCGCGGGTGCCATTGTTTGCGGGGGGGGGGGGGGGGGGGACCACGTGGGGGACAACCCTGGGTTGCTCGGAGGTCTTAACGAGCAGCGAGCCGCCGCTACCGCTGAGATCATCTGGGCTTAGCTAGCAGCTGCCAAGTGCGTGTCCCCCCCCCCCCCCCCCACGATTAGCACGGGCTGGCTACGTACGGTGCGAAAGAAGTTCAACGTACATATGCACGTAGATACCCTCCACCCGTGAGTCGTCTGAAGCGAACCCTTAAATTAGGTGCGCTGTTGTCATCGACTCGGCCAAACCGCGTGAGCCAGAAGTTAATGTGATAATACAAAATTCCAAATTTATATCGTTATTTATTAATATGTTGTTAAAACTATGGTCTTATATTTGTGGTGTTGTTATTATTTTTCTATATGACACCAATATTGGATTATGTGTGTATGTATGTTGAACTTCTTTCGCGCCGTACGTAGCCAACCGTGCTAATTGGAGGTGCGGGGAAGGACAACCAACTAAACACGGAAACAAATTGTCAATCGTAACGCTGTGGTAGCGATGGCCTGTGTGTTCATTTACACGCTGCTCCGCTGACTCTTGAAAAGTGCAGAAGCGTGTCTCTTCGCATAATGACAAATACAACAACAACGACGACCGCCGTTCGCCACGTAGTGGCGGTGACGTCACCACGGCGATTGTGCCAGGCCAGGTGCACATAAACACACCGCTGGATGAATGCATCCCCACAACTGTGCCCAGTAGTGGGGATTGTATGGCCGTACTTCACCAGCGCTGTACAGGTGGATTGGTGATGAAGGGGGGTGGGGGAGGGGGGCAGGACCGCAGGGGCCGGTCGAGACTTCGATCGCCACTGACGTTAGCCGTGGCCGGGAATCGAACTCGGGTGGCTTGGGTTCGTGTCGCGGTGCGCGGACCACTGCATCACCGCTCCACCCACCCACCCACCCACCCGCCCACCCACCCACCCACCCGCCCACTCACCCGCCCACGGCACATTATTATAGGCGTTATTAAATTGCCGGCATAATTTCTCGGAGCAAAATGCAATTTATTTCGCTTTCAAATTCTGCAGCGCAAGTCGGCCCAGCTCAGCTCCGACCTTTATTTCCCGGGTCACGCGTAGGCAATTTTTGTTTTTAATTAACACATGCAACCTAAAAATTGCTTATGTTGAGTGGTTAATTTAAAAAAATAAATGCGTGGTAACCTCTGTGCAAACTCATGTGCCAGTGGATACACGAATTTGCTTTTAGCTGTTTGCTTTAAGGGGGGCTCTGTGATCCAGTTAGTAGCTAATTCTCTTTTCGCTCCAAGGCACGGCATAATTTGTTTAAACGTAAGTGCATTATTTTTTTTTAACTTAAATAAATGTTGCTGCAGACAAACCGATTGAGGTCGCACGTCAGAAATCAAGGATGCTGCTGCCACAATGGTGTCATGGATGGCGCCCTGCATTGGCGATCCAGAGGTCTCCAGTTCTTACTCCATCTCCCGGCGCTGCGGTTGAAACATCGGTGCATGTCGGTTTTAAATCCCCCGTACGAATGGGTTCAGCACATTCAATCGATCGGTGCGTCACACGCAGTGGGAAAAAAGTGTGTGTACTCCCCACCTCTTCCGAGACGTTTGGCCACCGTGGAAGAGTAGGCCAAATAGCCCTCCTAGAAGGAGCCCTCCGGAACTCCCTTTAGTGCAGTGTCCTTCGCTCATTTTCAGAGGGTGGGGTGGAGGTGGGGGGACACTCTCGGCGATAAGACATCAGCGCGCGCGAGGGCCGCCACACATTTGAAACCATTGTTGGTTTCACAGCAGCACGATGATGATGTGTGGGGTCTTTTCACATTTATGTATTGTCGAGAGGGGAGGCCGCACATCAGGGGCGGCAGTAAAGGCCACCGGGGGCCACCAGTGACATGCGGGGCCTGGCATTGCAACGATAGAACACCGCTTTGGTTGGAAGCGCTTCCCCCCCCCCCCATCAGTGACATTGAGGAAGCAATTGCAGTGCTGCACCTTTACCTGCGATGGCAGTGTAGCCGAGTTAGGCAATGCACGCAGATCGTGTGCGAGAAATTGACAGCGTTGGTAGGTTGAAAGCTCATTTCTTTAGAAGTGCTTTTTGTGTTGAGTTTGCCTCGTCCTTCCCCCACACCTCCGATTAGCACGGTTGGCTACGTAGGGTGCGAAAAAAGTTCAACGTACGTACACGCGCGAGGTCTTCTTCTCGTTATGGTTCCGGAACGTGATGGTCTCCCTTGCAGTGGGAGTCACCTTCAGAGAGAGGGGGCTAACACGTAGGCTTTCGCGACCAAAACTAATGTCATAATAAAGGTTTTTGGGTTGGATCGCGTTATTTATAAATGTGTCGTAACCCTCCACCACCCGACACGGCCAATCAGCAGAATATGTGTCACGTTGACAAAAGACAAAATAGTTCACTACTATAGCCCACCGGTGTGTGGGAGAGTGAATCCACAACATTAAAATTTTTGAGCACGACGTTGCGCTGGTAATTACATCCAGCATCATGGGGCAATTTGCCCTGTCGGGTGGTGGAGGGTTACGACACATTTATAAATAACGCGATCTAACCCAAAAACCTTTATTATGAGAGGGGCTTACGTTCGCTAAAAATACAGAGACAGAGCCGTGATTGGGAGGGCCACTTGGGGTAATGAGATTATCTCCGACCATGCCAGTTTGTAGAGTGGTAGAGCAATGGCAGTGGTCAAACCTTAAAAAAAAACGGAGTTAATGATCACCTTCTGAAATTAGTAGAAGAATGTTTACAAATAAATACAACTTTAAACTATTTTTTGTTATTGTACCGGGTAAGGCCCACTGAGCTAATTCGCTTTTTGTTTCAGAAGCGACCTGGCCACAAACGATAGCTCAACCAAGTGGCGGCTTATTGTGTGTCAATGTGTAGCAGCCAAATACTCTAAACGCTTGTCTGTAAACGTGGAGGGAAAAAACCGGAGGACCTGGAGAAAAATCCACGCCACCACGGTGGAGAGCGTGCAAACTCGAAATGTACAACAAGCGTCAAGGTCGGGATCGAACCCACGACCTCCTGTATACCAGGCGAGGTAGTTAACATCCCTTAGCTACCGTGGAGTGCCACTTGATTTACAAAAATAATTGATGAATTCATCATATTAGTTTTTTTTATGCACAACAGGAGTGGTCATTTTCGTTTGGTCCTTTGAACCAGTGGTGGAAATTCCCACATTCCTACAACGGGCATCAGTATAGTCATAAATTCCCACATTACTACAGCAGGCATCAGCCTAAGTCATAAATTCCTACAGTGGGCATCAGTATAGTCATAAATTCCCACATTCCTACAGCGGGCATCAGCCTAAGTCGTACATTCCCACATTCCTACAGCGGGCATCAGCCTAAGTCATAAAATCCACTATCAATGAGGGGTGGCCAGATGTCTCCAGGTTTCAGAGCCACTCAGCCCGCACCCCCGAGAACCTAGATTTTAATCCAGGTTTCAGCCACCAGCGATTGAACTGGGTTCTCAAGAGCGCAGCGAGTTGATGGGAAAGGGGCACCGATTAAGGGTGGCGTCTCCTTCTTTCTCTTGCAGAGTGGTGCGACCTCAGGGACGTTTCCAAGCACCAGTGTCTCCAACAATCCCTTCCTGTAACCCCCGACTTTGCCTTCCACCCTCCCACCCACCCACCCACTCGCTCACCCACTCGCCACTTGCTAACCTACTCGCTCGCCCTCTCACCCGCCGTCTCACACGACCCAACTAGCCTGCTCACCAACCCACCTGCCCACCCACATACTCATTTGCACATCCACATACCCGCCCGCCCGCCCGGCCGCCCGCTCGCTCGCTCGCTCACACACCCCGTATACTCGCCTCCTACCCACTTGCAGACATAATCACCCATCCACACACAACAACAAGAACTGTCGTTCACTAAGTGGCAGTGATGTCACCACTAAGTGGCAGTGATGTCACCACTAAGTGGCAGTGATGTCACCACGGCGATTGTGCCGCGATAGGTGCACTTTTAGGTGACGGGAAATGTCGAAGGCCCGCTGGCAGGTCACGGAACGTACCTCAGGTGCCACGGGGTGACTGAGATGACTGGCAGATGCACCAACGAAGACAAAGATCCCCCGTATAGCCTCAACAGACTGTAGGGGCAAGTGCTGTTAGCGAGCACCTATGAAGACCGGAACGGCACACGAGAGGGTGGGTGGCCAACACCACGCCCGGCCGCCTTTGTCTGCCCAGCGGCGATGTTTACTACACACCGCACCAGGTACTCATTTGAAGCTGAGTCGACCTAGAGGAAGCCCAGGACCGGTTCAGATAATCGTCACCGGTGTTGGTGGCCGTGAGCGGAAATCGAACTTTGGTTCGCCGGATTCGTAGCGCAGCAGCGCGCTAACCGCTGCACCACCGCTCCCCGAGATGCACCAACACGCTCGCACGCGCGCATTCACGCGGCCGCCAACGCAGCTGCCCCGCAACACACACTGAACGCTTCCCCAGTGTAGTTTTGAATGTCAACCGCGCGGGGCAGTGTCCACCTGCGGTCAGGCTGCGCGCGAAGGTCATGATCCCGGCACCGACGGGAGCCGCGAGCACGCGTGCATGACGCACGCGCGTCTGCAATTCGGCGTTAAGCAGTATTTAACTGAAGACTGATTGTGCAATCGACTGAAGCTTGATCGCAAACGATAGTGATTTCACTCCTCAGCTGCCGGCTCTGGTTTATACGTTTGTATCTTTTGTCGCGTGGTGCGTAACTTACCAAAAGTGTTGTTCACTTGGCGTCTGTAGCATTTATCGTTGTTTTTCTGTACGATGCATCGGAATCGGCTGATACTGCACGAGCCAGAACTAAGAGGGCCTCTGTCGTGAGGAGCCCCTCGGCATCGGGTGGAACGCTGCAAAGCACTTGTGGTCTGGGTTGGCGTATCGTCGATGACACGTTCACTACCGAGTGTAGCCTCGGCCACTGAAATCCGAGTCGGGTGTTGTGGCTGAAACGCTGACAAATGGTCACGGCTCTATTATTATTATTATTATCCACCCGGTATGACTACGATTACCTTTGATCATCCACTCGGTCCACCTGTTTTACCGTACTCGTGCACATAGTACGTTATGTGTTACACAAGAGAGATTTACATCGTCACAATTGTACGTTTGCCTTGCGGGTAAATTATTAGAATTCTTTGTCACTTGGCCACCTGGCCTGCACCTGTCATTTGCAGAATGTTGTGGTATTTGTGTACAACCTCTTCCCACCCCCCCACCCCACACTTCCAATGCACTATCTATTCCTATCACAACGACCGTACAAAGCAAACTGGGAAGCAATGTAAATCAGTTTCTTATGAGAAGGATGTTTAATATATTTTTTATGGACAGAAGATGAGTACACCTTTTGGCGTCCTCTGGTCTAACACCATTTGAGACGAGGCTCAAAAGAAAGCTCTCTGGTGTGGACCAATCAGTTTCAAAGACAATGCATATATTATCAGAGTATGTTTTTTGTTTGCATTCTGACCACAAGTATTGTGGTTAATGCAGACATGATTCATTGTAAAAGGTTTCAGTTTGGCGTTTTAACATCTCAACACAGCTGTTTTGTTGCCAGAAAAAAGGGGAAAAACCTATTCTCATAAGATGAGTAATAGTGACTTATGGATAGCAAGTACAAAAATACAATGTATGAGATTAATGAGAGAAAGGCAAGTTAGATATCTTGAACGAGGCTGAATATAAATGAGTTGACTGGGACAATTAGGGATACAAGAAGCTGGGGAAGATGGCGAATTAAGCACGGTGGTGAGATGTTAACTACCTCGCCTTGTATGCAGTTGGTCGTGGGTTTCATCCTGACCCTAACGCCTGCTGTATATTTGGAGTTTGCGCGTCTCTCTCTCCCCGTGGTCGCGTGGAATTTTTCTCCGGGTCCTCCGGTTTTTCCCACCAGATTTAGAATGAACGTCACGCGTTTAAAGAGTATTTGGCTGCTATACATTTCCACGTGATAAGCCACTTCGTTGAGCTATCATGTGTGGCCAGGTCGCTTCTGAAAAAATAGCTATACGGCCCAGTGGGCCCTTACCTGGTAAAAATACAAAATAGTTTAGTTTTACATAAGCAATTTGAACAATTTCATGCAATTTGGAGTATTCAAAGTTCTTGAGCATTATCATGGACAGAGCTAATCGTAAGTACATGGTCATAGGACATGGTCATAGTTATCAAAATTATAAATATATATTTTATGTTTTACTTGTGCATTTTTATTATTCTATTCAGGGTGCCCTTTGGAGGATACTCGTCTGGCGTGTGGCAATGAAACGCTTAAGTATACAGGAAAATATGTTTCCATCGTTTAAACCGTGCAGCCCAAACGGCCGTCGTTATAATTATTTCCTTATGGATAATTCTTTATGAGCATCGTATGTGAAGCGTTGGGAAAAAGCTTATTCCTGCATTTGTCATTGCCGATTGCACACCGCTGCCACGCAGCCCCCAGACACTGTTTATAATCTGTCGAGAGGACGATAGCAGGTGTTTCCGTATTCCCCGTCGGGCATTTAAACCCCCGTAGAGCGTGAGCAGACGCCTTTTGCACGATGCCTCGCTCACACGTGCGCACATGTACGGAGCGGTTATCACTGAGGGAGAGAATCATCCTTGAGATATAAGCGATTTCCCACCCGCCCCCCCCCCCCCCCCCAAAAGGTAACAACGGCCTGGTTTTGTTGTTGTCCGTAACTCTTTATTGACCTTGACCTTACACGAGTGACCCTTGACCTTTCTGGGATCCACAAGCTTCTGTCAACCCTAAAAAAAGAAATGCGCGGGCCACCGTAAACCAATATCGTGAGAAGGCCATGTGGCTTGCTCCTTATTTATTTATTGACACGCACTCGTGAGATGGCAGACGCTGTGGAGTCGTGCGATGGGCAAGTGAAAAAAAAAAGCGCGGTGATTTTTGACGCAAATCGTAGTGTCTGCAACAGTTCCATGGACCATTATTCCCCCCCCCCCCCCCCCCCGTGGCCTCTGCAGACCTCCGGTTGCAAACCCCTGACCTAGTGACCTCGACCCGAGCACTTGGCGCGCTGTACGACACATCGAACCTCCGATCGTTGACGAGCTGAGCCGCGTCATCGCCTGTTATCGCAATGACCTTCAACACATCGTTTGGCGTGTCCCCCCATTTCTGAAACTTCCTCTGTTCCATTTTCTCTTCTCCCTACGCTCTTTCGGTTTATTGCCTGGCCTTTCAGCGGAGGTTCTCGCCCGCACGACGCTGATGCCCCGCTTTTTAACGAACCGACACTAAATGTCGGCTGCGCGTTTCGTGGGAATGTCGCCCCAACAACTTTTGGATATTTTTCAGCAGCCTGCCGTCGTTTTCTATGCACCTGTGCCACCGTGGAACGAAGGGCCAGCGTTCCAATGGGCGGTCGGCGGATTCACAAAATGTTCACGTGTGACCGCTTACAAACGGCAGTCCTGTAGCGCAGTGGTGTGTCACACTCGGTTTGTTGCAAGACGTAGAAGCCTCCTTCAAAGAATTCCAACGCAGGGGATCGCCTCTTCGGTGATGTGTTATTCGTTGCTGCCTTTTTTTTTTTTCCCCGATTAGCACGGTTGGCTACGTACGGGGCGAATTAAATTCAAAACATTTTGCTAATACAAAATGTGAGAACTTGCCAGACCTGGACTACGTGGGCCCATGTGGCATCCCGTCGTGTTGGAGGTGAACTGATGCCATCCGGATGTGTGAATGCAATTTTTTTTTTTTAAATCTTCGGCTTCTCAAGCACGTGCTCACGTAACGTTTTTGGTTCTTTTTACGCGTCTTTTTCAAATTGAACGCGTGTAACTTCTAATCACGGGGTCGGTGAATCGCTGAGAGTCGCTATACGCGTGTACGTTTTCACAGTCGCGCTGCACCGCTTTCTGATGTAATCCCTTGTTTGTGTACCCACGTGTCGATCGGCATGATGTGTCTGACATTTGGCTGTGGTGGCGAGATACTCGCTGCCTCGCCTGGTATACAGGAGGTTGTGGGTTCGATCTGTTTGCAGCCCTCAGCCGGTGGTGGAAATTCCACATTGCTATGGTGAGGCTGGGGGGGGGGGAAGTCTATCCACACGTCAACTGCTGTTGAAGGTGGGAGCAGGACCTGCAATTACTTGCTCTCTCCGCTGCTGGTTGAAGGGCCGCCACGACATAGGGGGAGGGGGTCTAGAGAGCCTCTCTAGCAGGGAGGGTATTTGGCCTACTGTTCTCCACTAAGCGAGACATCTCGGAAGAGGTGGCACTATAACCCACACTCTGACCCCAACAGCGTACACGACTCTCCAGTCGACATAAAATTCGCGGGAGCGTGATGTCGGATCGTGAATCAAATCGTTCGGGACGTGTCCTACTGCGGTGGCTACCCCAATCTGCTCAATGACATCCGTTTTGTATATCTCTTTGGGTCGCATCTTCCTTCAACAGGAGTCGGGGTTTTGCCGCACCGCGGTGAGTGGATTGCAGAGAGCGTCGTCCCCGTCCTGAGATTGCTCACGCCTGTTCGTAATAACCAACCTCTTGCCCTGGCATTCATTTTAAGAGGCACGCCACTTTAGGGGGTTGCCGCCTGCAAAGTACAAAAAAACAAAACCCCGCACGTGTCATTGGAAGAGAGGGTATCTCCATAATAGAGGTCGTTTTGGGTTAGGTCACGTAAATATATATAAATGTGTCGTTAAAACCTGCCACCACCCGACACAGCCAACTGGTAAGGGTTGTCACGTAAACAGCACATGCCAATTCGTCACTAGTACAGCACACCGGTGTGTTGGAGAGCCAGATTTGTGGTTGTCGCCTGATGAAGCTGGTTGTAATTACTGGCGGAAACGTCGTACTCGGATTGTAAATGTTGTGGCTTGGCTCTCCAACACACCGGTGTTGCTGTACTAGTGACGAATTGGCCACGCTCTGTTTACGTGACAACCCTTACTAGTTGGCTGTGTCGGGTGGTGGCGCGTTTTAACGACACATTTATATGTTAACGCGCGATCTAACCCAAAAAGACCCTCTATTATTGATGATATTGGTCGCGAAAGCCTCGTACGTGTTAAACAAAGAGTATCTCGTCAAAGCCAAGAGGAGATAACGACGTTGTACATGCATCGTACTGAGCGGCGTTATGA